GTAAGGACTGTAATTTCAGAATTTGAGATCTCACGATGATCAATGTTTTAAATTGAAAATAGAGTGAAAATGGGTGGAATAAGTATGGAATAAAGTAAATAGGCATGTAGTAAACACTCTAAATTGTATAGAAATGCAAGAAAATCAGGTAGTTCATTCAAATTTTAGAGAGAAATAACATGGAAAAATCTAAGCAGACGGACATTTAATCGTGGTTAGAGTAGTATTTTGTAGTATACTTCACAAATTAAGATAAGACACTTGAATTTGTGGGGATTGTATTCCAAGCTTTCAACATACACTTTGCATCTTTCTCAGATAAGATTCCTATTCATAAATCTTGTTTTTTCTAAAGATTTGATTAAAGCTTCCTGAGTGTTAACATTCGGATTTGTTGTGGTTGTGAGATGCTTTGTGAATTAGCTTTTGATTGTTTGTTCTTTTAATGTTAGGACCCTTACTCCTGGATCTAGCCTTCCAAAAGTCCTTGTGACCTTCATGACCTTACACCCCCTCCCCCTACACATTTAGATTAATTAAGAGAGGAGTGGACTCGGACTTGAAGCATGGCTATCCAAGATCATATTTAATCACACTTTGTTCGTGGTGAGTCACATGTTGAATTTGGCGAAAAGGATGAAATGGGACCATCCTTGGTTTATGGGTATTTCACTTCTTTATATAAGAATGGAGTATAGCTAAGCCAGATTAAAAAGGACTGGATCAAAAACTGGAACTGAAAAAAGTATTCATTCAAGAAGGCATTTAGATACAAGTTTTACAGTAGTCGTATTATCGTATCGTATCATATTTTCTGAGATTCGATTAAAATTGATGCTTTCAACTTTCAGTTTGGTAAGTAATAAAAGAAAACGTGTTTTAGAAACGTTTTAAATGATTAAAAGGTTCAAATGTGTCATTTCTTGATTCTTGGAGTCTTTCTACTTGAAAATGGATACAGTATTCGTCTAGACTAAAAATGTCAGATTTAAGAATTGCTCACTTTTACAATTTGTATTTCTCCATTTTTGGTTGCAGACTATTCTGGATTTAATGAACTCAATGTAAAATCAGAAAGAACCCACGTAGGCTAGAATTATGTTACAACAAGTTGAGTCCATACCACCATTTAAAATGTCTGTCTGCTTTTGCTTATTTCACGCCATTTCTCTCTAAAATTTGACTGAAGTGACAGATTTTCTTGCAGTTTTATACAATTAGAGTGTTAACTACCAACCTATTTGCTTTATTCCTTGCTAATTCCTCTCTTTTTAGTCTTATATTTGATTTTAAAACATGACCGCCATGAAATTGTGCTTGGAGGTTACCTAATAGAAACCCAATGAGAACTTCAAAGAACTGTGAGGCTTCTTTTAAGTCATAGAGTGCGTTTTCTCCATTTCCCATTTCCAAGTCTTAGTCAATTAATTCAACCAAAAATTCATCACTTTTTGCTGGTAATTTTGATGTTTTATCAATTTTTCAAAACGTCTAACAAAGAAAAGTCCAAATAGCAAATGTGAACTCAAGAAAAATTGCTTTCTATTCCAGACCACTTGTTATAATCAAAAATATTTTTTAATATAATTTATAAGTTATTAACATTCCCAGTCTTCTGCAAAACAAAAACAGCAAAAATATCTGACTGAATTTTTGGAAAATATCTTTACACTAAAGTGATGACAGAATATAGTTTAGATGGAAGTTCTTATTATGAAAAGCAAGAAAGAAGGTGGTTTATGTGCCCTTCATAAAATTTACGTACTTAACACTTAACGTTCTATCATTGAAACAGGGTCTTTCTTTCATGTATATTCGAGATACACTTATTTTGCATATAACTCATTCTCAATCCTGCCAACCAAGTTGAAGAACAATTCTTACAAGTTTTGAAATTTTACCAAAAAGTTTTTTTTCTTGAAGTAAGTTATTCATTAGCACTGATGGACCTAATGCCTTTATCTTAAACTTTAATGTTTTGGTAAGTGTGCCTTATGAAGGCCAACATGTTAAATGGTCTGATGTAAAAAGTGTCTGAGAAACAGATGCTTTAGCTTAACCTTTTGACACACAGAGGTATGTGTTCTGCACTCCAAAAATATTTTCTGGCAAGTTTCATTCATTATTTTAAGGCGTTTGTAGTTATTTCTCTCAACAAAAAATCCATTCCACATGTTCCCATAACCTGACTGATCACATGACTCAATCCAACCACTCTGATTGGTCAAATTGAATCTGATGAAACTATCCAGTTACATGATTGGTTAGTTAAGGTCACATGATCAGCATCAATATACCTCAATTTATATGTCTGGTCTAAATATTGATGTGGTTTCCACTTTTGACAGATTATACTATCAGCTAGAAAATCAGTGGATCTATAAATTGATTAGCGAGCGAGATAAGAACTCCTGATTTCAACAGAGTGAGGAATCATGGATGAACAGGCATGAGTGAAGTTTAAGAGCTTTTTTGGCTCATTTAGCCATATTCTTTAAGATGTGGATTTAAAAGAACTCTGTAATTGCTCCATAATGGCCCTGTTAAGGTGGGACCTAGTAAGCTAATGTAGGATATGTTTGCACCGATGTTGCTTTGGAGAACTACATCTACAAGATTCAAATTGATCTGCCAGTTTGTTTTCTTAATTAAATGGTGAGTAAACATAGAGATGATACAGTATAACAAAGCAAAAGTTTATTTTGATTTCTTCACCGTGTCTTGAATGAATTACAATACAGTAAAACCTGTTTAATCCAAATGCCAGTGGAATCAGTCAAAGTTTGGATTAGAAGGTGTTGACATTTCTAGGTTTTCCATTTTGAAGAAATTTTAACATATTCTCAATTAAGACCACATATAATAGCTTTATGACATTCCAATAACATGGAAAACTGAATCAAATTAATTTATAAGTCATTTTAGAATAGGAGGAAAGAATTATACAGAAAGGAGGAAAGAATTATACAGAAAGGAGGAAAGAATTATACAGAAAAAATGTGTTCAGATTGGGAGGTGTTCGGATTAGCCAGGTGTTCGGATATACAGGTTTTACTGTATGTAGACAATATAGTTCTCACACATAGATAATGAAATCTGGATCGACTGAAGTGGAGATTTCCCATGTTTGAAATCTGAAACTTAGATAACAAGACAGAGAAAAGATAACAATGGTTGTGATTTCGCAAAATATAAGACATACATTCATTAAGGCTGATAACTGTCTAGTATTTCCAGAAGTCATAAAGATCACCCCTCAATTTATTATTAGGAGAACTGTATAATATAAAGAGAAATCAAGCAAAAGTTATAGGAAAATAACTAAAGTTATTTATTGTGGCCAGTTAAAGCGAAATCAAGCAAAACCTTTTTATTGCAATAGACCTTTCCAAAAAATCCTGCCACCTTTAGGTGAATCAGAGAAGTGATGAAATATTAACTAGATCGATGAATGTTTGTATTTTTTCAAATTAGCAATCAGTTTATCGTACTTTTAGCATGGACAGATTGACTTCATCAATCCAGCCAATATATCTAAGCTTCATTGATATACCAAAAGGTGGCAGGGTCTATCAGAAAGGTCTATTAGTCAGGATTTGCCAAGGGGGGTTCACTTTTTATAAAGATCCAGGGGGTTCACTTTTGACAACTTAGGGCCAAAGATGGCCAAAATCACTTGAAAAGTGATTAGAATGGTGAAAAATTGCATGATTTTGAAAGAACTTTTGGCCAGGGACCCTCCCCCCCTGAACTCGTTCCCCCTGGCTATAGGCCAGAGTTCAATTGAAATGGACCAAAAATCATTTGGATTCATCTTTGAGATAAAGAGTCCAAAGTGGCTTGTTAATGAGCCAGGGTAAAGTGTACATAACCAGAATTGCTCAATTCATTATGGTAATGAGTTAATTGAGGTAGGCTGAACTCTGTGCTTGATTGATTAGCTGCTATATACACCCACAGTAAAACCCTATTACAGCCTACCAGACAAACGTCATACTTATTTTGCACGATTTCTCTCAAAAATTTGAATGAAGTACCTGATTTTATGACATTTTTATAAAATTTAGGGTATCAACTGCATATTTGTATAGTTTATTCATTGCTTATCCCCCACTTTTAACCACATTTTCAATTTTAAAACATGGGTGTTATTTTTCTAAGGGTAACCCAAATTCTAAGGTCATTTCTAAATTGACCATGCTAACTGTTAAACACATGTTAAATCATGCTGGGCTATAATCTAAGTGGAACAGTCCATGGCATACTGTAAAAATCTCCAACTGATATCTCTTGTATACAACATCTGCATAATAAGTTTTCTATTGGTCTCGATCCACTTTGCAGAAGTCAACAGGAAATCTCCACCAGCTTCAGATACCTACATTGCCCTCTTAGTATTACACATGATTTGACAGTTTTCGAGTTTTGATGCTGAGAAGATCTCAATAATCTCAAAGGAAAATTTTTATGTGAGTTTGAATATGTAAAATGAATACCAGCTACATATAAAGGAATCACATTGTTATGCTGTTATAATTGGCTAGATCAGAGTTTTCTCATATATCAAGAATGCAGAGGGAGTGAAGCTCTTGTAAAGGGTACATGCCTCTAGTTTTTGACCCAAATCTCAATCTGAAATGAAACTGGACATTTCCATTGAGTGGGGCTCCCATGGGAGTATCTCTAAAACTGCTTTGTCAGTTTTGATGATTTAGGTAACAATAAAAACTGATGTTTTAGATCATTTAGAGAGAAAATTGGTTTTAGGTTCTGGCATAAGATAGTACCATTTAGTGAATTTATTTCAATTGTATTATACAGAGGACTCAAATTAACAATTCATTTTGTCATTTACAAAAATGTCTTTATCCCCAGATTGCTTTCCCCATTGGGTGCCCCATAACTTTATAATTAGCTTAGGTTGTCCCTCAACCATTCAAAGTCAAGGTTATTATGCTAAGTGAGTGGATGGTCTTTCTCAAGGACTTCTGCATATAGGACTGCACAGTTGTTTGGCTAAAGGTGGCTGTTGCTGGTCCTTGGTGTGGAACATCCATGGTTGGTTGCTTTGGGGGTAAGTTACATATTCTAGAAAAAGGATTCACTGATAAATTTACATCTGTACCTATTATACTAATTTAAGATTTCAGTATGTTTAGATTTCAGTATGTTTAGATAATGAAGTGGCTATAATAAATATGGTAAATGTGTAAAAAGGAGGAAACACAGTGATCTAAATTTTGTATTTTAGATCTGCCATATTTGGAAAAATTGAATTTTGGTGTTTTGTGTCAGAAAGGCAGGCCCCCAACCTCTGCCCCTAGTTATGTAATAACTTTTGTTTTGATTATAAATTGATCTAGAGATACATTCCATTTTGTTCACTTGAAATAAAGGTTTTTTATCACACCCTTGAGTGCTGTCTTGGAGTGTACAGGTGTCCCAATCGGTTATGTTTATGTGTTTTCAGGTGAACTGTTTGATGGTTTCATTTAAAATTTTCAGTAATGCTTCTTTGTATGAAAATCTAGAGACTAGAGTGCTAAGCTTTTGGCCATCCTGGGTAATTTTAGGGCAGTTATTTTACAATCACAAGCTCCATTCCAAAATCTTGTCAGTGAAGTTTTGTCAACTCTTTCAAGTCAAACCATTTGTTAGATTGATTTGAAAGATCTGAACAGCCAGGATTTGCCAAGGCGGTTTCACTTTTTAAAAAATTAAAATTCTGTACAAATAGTGTAAACTTTTTAAATATGAAATTTTCAAGATTTTTCATAGATTTAATTTTAAACTATCAGACTTTGTAATATAAAAACGGGTTACCTGATTCATAGTAAATTAGTACAGGTATTAAGATCTTTCTTAGTGTTATAAGAGCTGGATGATTTTAAATCAACCTCTTCATCTGACAGTTAGAAATCACATAAATTTACAGAAAACCAATTGAAGATGTCATGGTGATCATGTTTTAAAATGGAATATTGAGAGAAAGGGTGAAATTCGCAAGGAATAAAAGAAAGAGGCATGTTAAAGTTAAAGTAAATCTCTAAATTATATAAAATTCAAGAAAATCATGCAGTCCATTTAAATTTTAGAAAATAATATAGCAAAAGTATAATTACCCCATGGGTGTTTTCTTGGTTGGGATAGGTTGACTAAATTTGAAGGGCACGATTAGCGATAATCGTGACGTTATCCATTTCTTAAAAAGTGTCTTGAAGAGTCTTTTGTTTGTCCCTGACAATAGATTACAACTACTCTTGAGAACATAGTCATGATCATTAAATGTAAAGCTTACTTTTAACATGGATTAAATCTAAACTATAGTGCTTAATTAAAGGTAAGTCTCTTAATATTGTAATTGTACAAAGGAAATTTTGGTTGTTTTTAAAAAAGTATCTTGTTAATGAAATAAAAGGTTTATCTTGATTTATCTATTTTGGGGGGATTTTTCTGAATACTTTTTTTAAATCAACCAAGAATTCCTTTGTATAACTATAATATTGTGAGGTCTAAAAACATGTTGTATATGCTATTTTGTTTCAACAAGGTTCAGAAAGACATTTCATATCATTCTCAAGAATTGGTAGAAAGTAGCAAAAACAATTGCACGAAAACAAAACAAAAAATGTTAACAAAAACAGTTATATAAAATATTTCTAAATAATTTTCGCATTAAATTGTAAGTCAACATTACATAAAATACCGTGTTTTTTTACAGAATGTTTTCAATGATTGGTTTAAGAGAAAAACAGTGTTGAATTCAGTTCTCCATATCGATACCACTCCTTTAGGCAGAAGGCAAATTAGGCATTAAGATTATTAATGCATTCAGTCTCAACAAATTCCTGTATAAAAATTGAAATGAGAGCATTAGTATTTGTTGAACAACCCTCGTAGAATAGCAAAATTAAACAAAATGAAATTCAGGCAAGGGACAAATTAGAATTATTCTGCGGTCTGTCTCAACAAATTCCTGTATAAACAATAATATGAGCACATTTGTGTTAGCATTTATTGAACACCCCTCATAAAATAGTACCCTTTGCATTCGTTTGACTTCACTTCTTAAAAGAGAGCTTCGTCTTCTGTAGTTTAACTAGACTCTGCACGAAGGGTAATAAAAATAGAAAAATAAAATAAAGTGAAATTCAGGCAAGGGATTAATTAGCATTATTCTGCCTTCAGAACAAATTCCTGTATAAACATTAAAATGAGCACATTTGTGTTAGCATTAATTGAACAGCCCTCGTAGAATTACAAATTCATTGAAATTTAGGCAAGGGGATTATCACTTATAGGTAAGGTTATTGTGCAGGACAACACATCCTTTTAATCTTAATGGGTTCTTAAGTGCAAATAAACACACCAAGATTCCCATTAAAATAATATCACATTGTCCTTATTCATAACAAGCAATACACCAAGATAGAGGAAATCTGTACGAAATAGAAATAGAGCTGAATGTCGTAAAGTGTTGATTGTATTGTTCGTAAAATTTCAAGGAAATTAGGTAGTTTTGTAAGATTTAAGAGAAAATTTAGGAAATTGCGAGGGAAAATATTGTGATCTCATGCTATATTAATCAAGGATTACATTCTCTTATCCCCCCATTGTGTAAGATTGGCTTTTTCACCCTTTAAATATATCCCATAATATTTACACAAATGTACTCATATTTCCATGACAACTATAGAAACGTAACTCAGGTTGCATCAGTTAATCTTTTTGAATTACAACACTAATTTAAATGTTTGCTTTGTTTCATCTTTGGAGTATTTGGTGAAGAAATTGAAGATAGTGTTTGTTTATTTTTTGCAAGGGGAGCACTGTAACACAGGAGTTATGTAAAACGCTCACTTGATTAAAAGACTATAAGTAGCAAGGTATCACACACGCCAGGAGTTCACTAGGATTGACAATTTATCTTGAGATGTTTTTCATTCATAATTTCAGAGCATTAATACACATTATTTAAACAGGATTGATTTACAGGATTATGTGATAATTTAGAAATTTGGTTCAAGCGTTATCAAGGGTAAATACTATTCCTTTGAGCTCTAATGTTAGTAGCTTAAAGTAAGTAAAGACTATAGCATTCTCTTTATGGAAGTGTTTGTAAGATATGGGCTGATATGTATTATTAACTAGGTCATGTTCATTGAATGTGATAGGAATTTGATTGACTTTTGAATTATTCTGTAAGCATATGCTATATTCTGCAAGTGCACCAAATGCCAACACTCGTTCTAACTGTCTGCATTTATACAATAAATAATGGAAGAATGAAATTTATTTTGTTCGTGAAGAATGTTGATTTTTGAAAAATTTATTCAAACGAAACAAACAGAAATTTGAATGATTCTTTGATTACAATGCCGGATTGTCTTATATAATGGTATATTTTCGTTGTGCTTTCAGAATTCCTGCAAAAGAATTTGGAACAACACTCACAGAAAAGAGCAAAAGAAAGAGCAACTTCTCAATGCAGCAATGATTAGACAAGATTCGCCAATCTAGATGAATACATCCATCTCCACAACCGTTAACATTTGTGGAAAACCCATCGAGCAGAGGCTTTTTCGTGATCTTACAAACTTTCATTGATTGGTCACGAATATTACAATGAACTGTCGAGTATTGATGAGTCATATATGAAGCTTTATTATAGTAGGAGCCACCCTCATAAGGTGGCGAAACTAGTTCTATGGTTCAGACGATTTGGAAGTCGGAAAATGCTCAGAGTTGTCCGACTTTTGGCTGTAAAAGGAACCAAAATGGTGACGGCACTGATTGTTGTGATGTTAATGCTTGTATCACATCTCTTGCTTTTGACGATGTATACTAATCTCTACTACAGGCAAATCGGCCAGAAAACAATGGACGATTATATTGCTCAGAACAAAATCCATGTCCAAAATCCACGTTTTCTAATGTACAATACACAAAGTAAATCGGGCTCAGACGCTGATACTATAAACACTAATGGAGAAGTTGACTCTGAGAAGTATGTGAAATATTCACATCGATGGCGACGAAAAAGCGAAATTGAGAATGAACAAAGCAAGAATGACCAACCTATAAATATAAATACTCAACAAGGGACTTCTACAAACTCAGACGGGGTGGCTCATGGCCAACCAGGAAGAAGTTTCAATAGATCTCTAATTGTTTACCTAGAAAATGAACAGAAGCCCAAAATCCCTCAATACAACAAAAACAAATTGCTTGATCTCAAACACAATAGCAACAATAAAACAAAACAAGTTCAGCCAATTAAAAATACTAAAGAAAAGCCACAGACAGGTGTTAAGATTAATAAAACTAAGAGCCACCCCAATGCAAATAATAATAAAGCATCTATAAAGAAGGACCAAAAAGTGAAAAAACTAGAACAGGACAGTGCTAAAAACAAACAATTCCCAAACCCAGTTGCCCTAAATGCAAAGCCTAAACCAAAGCCAACTGGGAAAACCAAAACCAACAAGACAGTTATAGCAAAACCAAAACCAACCAAAGGAGCTAAGAAGAAAGGTGTCCAAAGCACAACCCCTAGTGGCCATTCCAAAAACGGGAGTACAACAGCCAAGCCATCTATTGGCAAAAATGCAGTATTAAAATTTGAAGAAATTAACGTTATCCACAAAAGTGATATTGAATGGGAACCGACTGATGACTGGAAAGAGGAGCATTTATTGAAAGTTCCAGTGAAAAAAAATAAAAAAGATAAATAAACCATCCAGTGAATCCTGCCTTAACCTCTCTAGGGACCCAATGAAATTGGAACATAGTTTAGCTGTATCCTGTATAATTTCATACAACAATGTTTTCCAAATTAGTAAATACATGTACTGTATATTGTACAGTCTTGCCACAATATACTGTATGTGTCCATTGACTGTCTATCATCGTAAAGTACTTAAGGTAATCTATATATGTCCTGAAATTTTAATGGGCTTCTCATTGGAGTTCCATGTTATTTCCAGGTACATATAACTCACTCCATACATGCTGATCTGCTGATTCAGACCATGTTAGGATTGCGTTATGTGCATCTGAAAATAACATGGGACTCAAATTGGGAAACCAGTAAAATGTTTGACATACAGATCTACCTTTAAATATATAAGCTTCCTAATTTGTCTGACCGATGTGATCAGAATTTGGGAAAACAAGCGACAAAATGATAAGTTATTATTCAAATGTTTGTACTGTTTTTGAAAACCTAATGTAAAGTGTCACATGTTCAATAGTTGCTAATACCATTTACAGGCATTATTATTACAGAAGGCAAGCTTTTACGAAATGGTACAGTCATGATTTTAAGGTTCACTTGTTTGTAATCAAAGTATTCTACCCTCTTTCATGAATGAACAGGGTGACCCAGAAAATTTGACCCTCTTATTTGAAATAATTATGTTATAGTGGAAGTTATGGTGGAATCTACTTTAAAGAATTTTCTGAGATAGTGATGCTATATAATGATTCACCACAGTTTCACGCATGATCATTATCTATGCAAGAAATATCACCATAATTAAAAAAGATATTTGCCATTAGAAATTTTCATGTTTTGGGTCACCCTGTAAATCATTCAAGTGTGGCTGTTATTTGTTTGTACCATTTTAAGAAGATGTTGCTATGAAAATCCACACCTTCAAATACATTGTGCAATATAATATGAGAAATTCAGTAGTCTCAAAATATTACCATAGTGATACCAAAAAACACTTGAAGATCACAAATTGTGATGTAATGATATCTGTGGCATCCATAGTGGCACAAATTAAGAAATGGGAAAATTAAATATGGGAAACAGGATCGAAATAAGGCAATGTTAAATTCTTCCTCTATTTTGAAACTTACATAAGTTTAAAAATCAAATTATGGATTTCAGAAACTTTAAATAATGATGACCATTTTGAGATTATATATGTTTAATTGTTTGTGTTGTTTATAGCAAAATGTGTTTGAAAATTCTGAGATTTAGAAGAAGATTTGTTGTAGTTACAACTTGAATCATTGAATCAACTTGATACACATCATATCAGTCATATTGAAAATAGTGCAATTGATATTGCATTTATCAACCAATGCCTCTATTATGTTTAGACTCCTACATGTTAAATATATGTTTTGCAGTTCCCCCTTTATCTCATAATGTCATTTCATTCTTGTTTATTCAAGCTTTGTCTCATTTTACATGTCCTTTGCATTGTGATATTCACAGCCTTTTCCTTTAAGCAATGAAGTAGGACTTTTTATAACTCATAAACAATACTTTTTGCATAAGCATTATTGAAGACAAATCAGTTGCCTTGGATTAATTCCTCACTTCATTTGAATGTATTTATTATTATATTGTAAGCACCCTCTGAACTCCCAGAGTGTGTTTTTCCCCAAAACAATGATTTAACATATAGGGGCCTTACCTAGAACTGTACTGTTCTGTAACTTACATTATTCTGTAACTGCCATTATGTGCCAATGAATTAAACAATGTGGACAAAAAAGTGGATATTAATGATTTATGAATATGAGTAGTACTTATATTTGACATGAGTGAATAGAAATCAGAATATCATGAGGATATATTTTGTATCCAATAGTTTGAGTAGTTTTTCAATTTTTATATCGCATGGAAAATTATTATACAATGGATATATGAACTGTATCCCACAGACTCTCCAAATATCTCTAAAATGTGATTGCAATAGATGCCAAATGTACAGGGTGTCCATAACATTTCTTTACAATTATGATACAAATTCTCAAAAGTGTAAAGAGACTAGGGGCACCCTGTATTACCATGGGATATTAAAGTATATGTCTTAAAATATGAATTGGTAGTAGTCTTTAAAGGGGCAATCCAAACAATGAGAGCTAGTTTTTCAATACATGATTTAACATTCATTTTTGTCAAATTTTTATTATTTTTTATTTCATGGGATCTTTATCTGTAAATAATGTTCATATCATGTACATCATTGGAAATATGTTTTCTTTAGGAATAACTAAAATCTTTGAGAACATCGATTTGATCAAATTAATGCACTTCAGACTTTATACATTTTATTCAAACCTATCTCAGTGAACATCTCTTAAGAGAACCCCCATCTCTTGTAAAACCATTTCTTGGAGCATGCTCTCTATTTTGAAGACCTACCTACAGTGAAAACGTTTAAGTGGCCTGCAAATGTGTTAACTATATACGCATAGGTATTATAATTGAATAGTAAAAAAACATTTTGTTTTTCAAAAATTTTGCCTTCAGTTTTTCCTGCTCTATGAAGGGTTCTATCTTTAAAGTAGGCTACCAAATTCATTAGGCAGTTTTTAAAATATATGAATTACAGTTCCTCAAATGTGGATGTTTCATGATTTTGCTACAGCAAAAAAAGCAAGAAAAATTGAATTCACAAAACTGTAGTTCAGTATATATTTTAGAAATGGCCTTGAGAATAATTTTTGATAAAAAGTGCCAAAAAGGCAAGATGCACTGGGACCATTCCCCAAAGAGAAAATTCATTGTGGTCACGCATGATTTGAAAAGCATAATAGAGGAAAAAGAGTGGAATCAGCAAGGAAAATCTATAATCACATTTAGTTAATACTAAATTATACAGAAATGATGGAAAATATAGCAGTCATTATTTAGAGAAAAATTGTGACTCTGTATTAGTATGACCACAGTGACTGATTCTCATGGGCTAAACAACTTAGGTTTACCTCAAGGCTTTAATTCAATAATAAATTATGTTCTAAATCTAATCCTTGTTCTTTCTTGTTTTGATTCACATATGAACCCGTTATATAAAAGGTTGTCTTTCTTAGATTCTTGAATTTTCATCTTGGATTACCGGGGTATGAATTTTTCATTTATTTTTGAAGATTTAACTGGTGAGCATGTGAATCTATACACACTGGGAGTGTATTATACTGTATAACTTGATAAAACCTCCTTCCCCTTATATAATGATTTTCACAAAAAGGCCAGTTGAACAAACTAGTTTCGTGAAATAATTCCATTCGTGTATTCTAATTTTTCATCTAGGTTTATTTCCAATGAACGCTTGCTAAACCCTCTAGAAGAACATGAAGTAGGGACTATTTTGCATTTATGAAACACATTTCTGTCAAAACAGAAGCAAATCGCTGATAATCTCCAGGCACCTTACAGCCGATTTTGACCAAAAACTCATTTGCCTTATTGGAAATCGGTCCAAATGTAACTGAGATATTAGAATCGGTATGTTCTAATTCTATCTCTTCCAAATAGATACTGAAGAACCCTTCACAATAATGTTTAAAATCAATAAGGGCATCTCTTACATGTTCTTTAGTTCTATTTACTCTGCCTAACAGCATTTGTCTTTGTTAATCAACGGGTTACTCTGACATGATTTTTCTCAACATCACTTGCATGATATTTTCCAGAAGAAAAAAACATACAGTAAATTGGTTAAATCTTGTGGTATTTAATTTTGGTGGAACCACAGTTCCTTTTTTGATTTGTTGGATTGCTTTGAAATATATCAAAATACTTTAAGTTGACAATTTTGTACAGAATTGGTGAATCGCTGTTAAGTGGGTGCCAAGTTTAACCAATTTTATGAGTAGGATCTCAATGGCCAAGTTAATTTATAATGCAAAAAACAAAAGAAATGACTTGCAAAAGAAAATATCTTACAAAAGTAAATTAATAATATAAAGATGCTATATCAAATCGAAATCTCAATTTAAGAAAAAACTTATAAGCATAGAAGCATATATTCATTTTACAGAGAAATATGGTAGTATTATGTAAGAAATTCATTCGCAAAATACAAAAGTTGATTTGTTGAACAATCTGCTGAATCAACATGTGTTTCATTATTTGCATTATTTATCTGTAACATTCATCTATATCATTGATTTATTACTAATGGGTTTAATTGTTCATATATTACCTGTTGAAAATCATTGAAAAACACAAGTACATGTTTCAAAAGAGGAGAAGTTGGGGAAATAACCTTTAAGAGTAAAACTGGTCATAAGGAAGTCAAAAAAGAGATTTTGGCTTGAACGTTTCTAATTATTTTGGGAAATCTGTTTGCGTCATACCACCTGTAGCCCATATGATGAATCAAAATATATTTCTTATTTATTGACCTAATAATTATGACATCCAGGCCCTTCAGTTGAACATTTATTTGTAGTTGCATTTATTGAATTTATGCAACTTAATGTTGATATGATCTTTGTTAAACTGAAGCATTCCAGCTCAGTACAAGTGAATGGATTGCGTCTGGTCCTACCAGCGTGACTTCACCTACTTCTAGTTTTTTTTTTCTTAAGAGGACCAATATATCATTGTAATGACTCTAATATGTAAGACGCAATGTTGTTTGTGAGTTATTGTGACACAAGTCAAGTCTACGGGGAGGTAATATGCCTAATCTACTGAAGAAACACTGAATATTAGTATCTTTTTTAAGAGATGAGTAATATCACAATTTTCAGTTATTGATGTTTGGCCGTATTTATTTTGTTGTCATAAATGGAAAAAATTCCAATGTTTTCCTTTTTTCTTTTCAATTTTTCTCAGGTTTATATGTTATATAGGTTTTTTTTATTATGTTTATCTGATGCTGCTCTGGATGTTTCATCTGGTTTTTAGTGGTTTGTGTTCAGTGTCTTATCTTGACCTTTAGATGGAGTTTTCATCCCCTACCCCATTTTTAGATGTACATTTTTTTGTATTTGATTACTCCCTTACACCCCTTGAAATAAGTATGGTAACTATTTGATGGCATGTTAGAGCATATTTTCCTAATTAAATTTATGATGCATTTATTAAACGCATCAAACATTAACTGATTACAGTGTGGTCCAATAATGAAATTCTGATCGACCCATCTTTTGAAGGGGAGTGTAACAGCATCCAGTGAATGTTTTTTTCTGGCAGACATGCATGTGTTTATACTGTTCAATACTTTTAAAGGGGAGTGTACCTACAGCATCCAGTGAATGGTTTGTCTGGCAGACATGCATTTGTTTAAAGTGTTCAATACTTTTGGAGGGGAGTGTACCTACAGCATCCAGTGAATGGTTTGTCTGGCAGACATGCATTTGTTTAAAGTGTTCAATACTTTTGGAGGGGAGTGTACCTGCAGCATCCAGTGAATGGTTTTTCTGGCAGACATGCATGTGTTTATACTGTTCAATACTTGGACAAGCATGCTGACTCTTCAACCTGCAGCTCTACACTGTGCACATGACATCAGAATGAAAGCTTACATGTAACATGTCCAAATCAATTACCTAGACTAGTAAGCCTACCTTACAGTCTAAAGGTTTTTAATGTTGAAGAACAGGTTTTTGTATTTTCTATGGGCTCGGTATTTGTACGTGTAGTGAAGCTTGTAAAGGGGAACACATTTATTAAAGTGGAACATTTTTTCCCAATATTTCAATGGAAATGAACCTCTTTAAGTGGAACACCTCCCAAGTAGAGCACTCTTTTGAGGTACCAAGGTTTTCCACTCACATGTACATGTTCATTTTACAGTAGTTAGTTACCAGTTTCACCAACAGGTGAAATTTCACTTATACCATCAGATTTATAACATCAAATTGAGTGCATTTTGTGTATGCAATCATGAAATTCAAGATGGTTTCTTCTGGCATTTGGTCTATTAGCTTCTCTAGCACTGGGAACATCAATCACCAAACTTTCATTAACTTGTTTCATTTTGTGATTTCCCGCAAATGGGGTTTCTTATCAAATATACCTGAATGGACAGCAATGTTTTTTAGAGTTTATGTTAAAAAACGTATCTAATGAAAGCAACATTTCATCAATCCAATCAAATTTTCCTTTGGGATTGATTGACACAGACCAATGCACTGTGCTTAGTGCCCCATGAGAGCGCTTGAAGGAACCTCAAGATTTCAGAAAGTAGGGCAGATTTTCCAAACTTTTGTTGAACTTGTTATTGCTGTGAAGGAAGTAGGAAATACTTATGTAACTGACCTGGTCACCATGACGATGGTTACAAATTCAAATTAGAAAAATAACTCTGAAAACATTTTTAATGGTAAGGTAGAACAGGTGTAATAATTATCAACCTTTGTGTGTATAACATTAAGGTAATAAACAGATTTTTCTTTCTTTCTCTATGTCCTACCTTAAGCCATCTAATTGAGGTTATGAGCAACTCTTGTCTGTTCAAAGGTGAGTTGTAAATATGTCAAATTAGTACTTGTGAGAAAAAAGAATTGTTTGTTTTTATTTTGTAGCAAGTTAGATTGTTCTAATCTGAAAAGTACATCTGTGTTCTGTGAACTTTTCGTGAACAGAAAAATGTCTTATGTCGTTAAAGGAATTTGATATCAAATGAAAAATTATTTCCAAATATGCCATGTTTTTTCATTTTTAATTTTTTGATAGAAGTTGACCAGAATATACTACAGAATACTACATTTGTGAAATCCAAAGGGTTAATTCAAAAGATCAAACTTATCTATGGAAATCATATATGATTTGACAAAAAATTGACTATCTCTATTTTAAATTGAAATTAAGATAAAAATCATAAGGTCTCAGAATTTTTCAGATTATTCCAATTATACACCATTACATTGCCATAGAGATAATATCTAAAGACTTTGTGTACCATTCAAATCCATGGTCCTCAACAGTGATTTTCTTTCACGTCAGACTATCAGACTATTAGTATATCAGTATATTAGATATACAGTACAGTGTCACAAATGGAAAAACTCTTAGGTCACGCAAAATGCAATACATGCACTGTTATTTTTGTGGTTTACCTATGTCTGTATATAGTTTCAAATATGACATTTTCCCCATGTGTTGCCAGTTTAACAGTTCTCTTGTCACGATTTTTATTTTATATTTTTTTCATTAAAATCAGAACTGACTGCTTGGTTTTCAGGCATTTCCATAGTTTTAAATACATTGCTAATTTGCATCATATTTACTCTCTTGAAGTCTTGGTTCAAGACTGTAGACCACCCCCCCCCCCTTTATCTTTTTCACCACCACATCACATTGTGGTAGATGTGCAATGTGGGGAGGGGCTCATTGGGATATAATTACGTCGCAGAAAACAATGAAATCCACGAATTCCTTGATGAAGTTTCTGTTTATGGTCCCCAGGAGTTCAGTTCTTAACTTTAAGAACTCGACTACTTCTGAGAGATATACACTTTAAAAGAGTTTATAAAAGAACCCAACGATGAATTCACTTCACACAGACACAATGTTATGACAGCTACTTCACATTTTATTCACCCTTTTCAATAATGTAAATTCCATTTTTTAAAAGAGAGCTTCATCTACCATCTTGGAATACGAGTCAATCCTTTGATCCAACCTTAACCAATCAAATTTGGTCGGTCGAAATCATCATCTTCCAAATCAGAATTGCGGTAAGAATCAACTGCTATAGCAGCTTTATTGGGGGCCAGTAAGATCTTGTCAGTAAAATAGATTTATCTGTGCTACTCAGTGTATATTGATTTCTTCTTTCGGGGGTACAGAGGGTATATTTCCTTGAGCCTTTGCTGTAATCCCTTGTTTACAAAACAAATCCCTATTCCAAGGTTTCTCAGTCTGTTATGTTTAGTCTTTGGAAAAAGATAAGATTCTTCATATAGCAGAATCTGGGTTTCAGGCAATATTTGGAGGGAGGAGATGTTTATCTCTTATCATATCATCTTTGAATAAACATTTTAAGTGTCATGTTATGTCATGTCATGTTATTCATCAAGGAGCATACTGACATGATGTCAAGTTATAAATTGTGGAATAAGGTTGGTTTGGGAGGTCTGGTTATTATCAATTAGAATTTGTGAGGACAAAGGGCAATATTTACAACAAAATAAGTCAAACATCTGTAAATAATATTATTTGTATTTATTTTAGATATCTGCAAGTATGATTTAATGAGGGACATCTAGCAGCGAATCTTATTTTATTTTATTTGATTATTCAGTTAATCATTATGATATTTCAGCTCAACTATATTTTCAGCTTAACTTAAGTATGGCAACTATGAATCTGCTTTCTTTTATTATTCAGTTGATTATCGTAATATTTCAGCTCAACTATTTTTTCAGCTTAACCAAGTATGGCAACTATGAATCTGATTTCATTGGAAATATCAATCAATCATTATTATTCAGTTAATTATTTTTCATATTTCAGCTCAACTATTTTTTCAGCTTAACCAAGTATGGCAACTATGAATCTTATTTCATTGGAAATATCAATCAATCTTTATTATTCAGTTAATTATTTTTATATTTCAGCTCAACTATTTTTTAGGTTAACCAAGTATGGCATCTTTGAATCTGATTTCATCGGAATATTTATCAATAATTATTATTCAATTATTCAATGAACATTATTATCATATTTCAGCTTAACTACTGCATCAACTTAAAACATTTTTAAAAGGCAGGATATAAACACACAAATATCAATCTTGTGAAATTATTCAATTAACCATGAATCCTTATGATATTTCAGCTTGACTACTGTGCCAGCTTGAAGAATCTCGACCACCTTAAAGGCAAGACAAACTACAAGTTTATCCAGGCAGACATCTGCGAGTCTGATTTCATGCGCTACATCTTCCAGTCTGAAAAGATTGACACCGTTCTTCACTTTGCAGCTCAATCTCATGTCGGTAAGAAAAAAAAAATTAACCTGGCATTTAGGCAATTTCATCTCTTAAGATTAAAAAGCATTTGTATCTTTACTTCTTGGACACCCTATATGTTTCATTTGAAACCATTTGCATAAAGAGAAATATAACAACATTTTCATCAACACAGTGCTATACATTGCAGCTCAATCTCAAGATAATGTAATTTTGACCTGACATCTATTTGTTTCACTCTGAACCATTTGTGTAAAGGGAACAGGCCCTGTAGCCAGGATTTTTCAATGGGGGTTCATTTTCCCGAACCCCCTGGCTACAGGCATGGGGAATTATAAAAAATAAAAAATTCAAACAGTGTTGAAACAACTTGATGCATATCCCGATCCACATTCAATATCTCAGTTCTAGGATAGTCCAAAGTTAGAGCTAAATTCGCACTAGGCCTATACCCTGTTAACCACTTATTGTGCATAAAACTAGCAGCCTGAATTTGTGCATATATTTTTACAGAACAAATAAATAGAATTAGCTAAAAAAATTAAATGTTAATTTTACCCTAACCTTGGTGATGATTCATTTTGTACTAAGGTTGAAATTGTATTTTGCATCATATATAAAGTGCATGCATTGATGTTTCAGACAACTCATTTTGGAGTTCCCTGGACTTTACCAGAACTAATGTATATGGCACACACGTCCTTGTCAATGCTGCTTATGAGAATAAGGTCAAGAAATTCATTCATGTCAGCACGGATGAGGTGTATGGAGGAAACAGTACAGTTGTGAGTATATTGAGTAAATATAATTAGTGCCTTTAAGTTGTGAGTAAATTGAGTAAATATAATTAGTGCCTTTAAGTTGTGAGTAAATTTAACAATTGCTTTTAAGTTGTGAGTAAATTGAGTGGACTTAACAATTGCCTTTAAATTGTGAGTAAATTGAGTAAGCTTAGCGAGTGCTTTTAAGTTGTGAGTAAATTGAGTGAACTTAACAAGTGGCTTAAGTTGTGAGTAAATTGAGTAAACTTAACAAGTGCCTTTAAGTTGTGAGTAAATTGAGAAGACTTAACAAGTGCCTTTAAGTTGTGAGTAAATTGAGTAAACTTAACAAGTGCCTTTAAGTTGTGAGTAAATTGAGTAAACTTAACAAGTGCCTTTAAGTTGTGAGTAAATTATGTAAATAAGTCAAAATATATCATAATTACTTAAACCCTTGCCAGTTTAACTCATTTTCACCCTATTTTACACAAAACCGAATACTTGTATCTAATTGTATTTGTAAGTAACTAATTATTATAAAATAAGTAATAAAATGGTAATTACAAGATTGATTCATTATTTTCATAATTAGATATATTTGTGCAAAACTTTTTGAACAACTCTTGTACATGGAATTAAATGAATTTTCCTAATTTAGGCTCTTGATGAGGAAGCTAAAATGAACCCAACAAATCCGTATGCAGCAAGCAAAGCCGCAGCTGAGTGTATTGTCTCGTCATATTGGGAGTCATTTAAGGTAAACTTTGGGTTCTTTCAAATTGTTGCATCACTCTAAATACATGTAGGATCAACCTTTTTGAGTTGAATTATTATGACAATTAGGTCCACTTACTTATGAACAAATTATAGACCAAGAATCACCATTATAATGTTATTAAGTTATACTACAGATTTTTAATACATGATGACATATGATGCTGATGATCTTCGGATCAGATTTACAGGTTTCACTGTACAAAATGCAGACACTGAAGTATTGGAGTATGCCATCTATTTAACAATAAAAGTTTATTTTCATACATGACAATAATTTTCTTTCTTTACTTTTTAGTTTCCTGTAGTCATCACTAGGGGCAACAATGTTTATGGACCGCATCAGTATCCAGAAAAGGTATTACACTAAATTGACATCATAAATGATACTCCACCAATTGTTAAAATTGCTAGATTCATTCAAGATTCCTCTCATGAGTTTTGAAGAAAATATTTGCATAATCAAAATAAGCTTCATACAATTAAAAACTGGGCAAGGAGGAATTATGAAATACTCTGGAATGATTTTCTTACATTTAAAATATAAATTATATGAGGAATGTTTTTCCAAAACAGTGCTGCATATAAATCCAATTTTCTGGATCTCAAATCAAAATCAAAAATGCAATATGCTAGTATGTAAGTGTATGTTATGCCAAAACCCTGTAATTTTGAACTTACCATTCCTGGGTACCTTACCTTCCCCGCTATAATTTGTCTCCATAAATTCTGTCATTTTGGACAAGAGGAATATTTGAGCAGATTAGTCCAAAGAGCAAGCCATGATATAATACTCATAATTTATTTTAGGTCATTCCCAAATTTATTTCCTTATTGGAGAGAGACCGAACATTGTTCATCCAAGGTTCAGGAAATGCTATCCGTAACTTCATCCATGCGACTGACGTTGCCGCAGCATTTGATACCATTCTTCACAAAGGAGAGTCTGGGCAGGTCTACAACATTGGAACTGATTTTGAAATGAGCGTCTTAGAATTAGCCAAATTTCTCATTAAAAAGGTTTGTAAAATCAGTTTTTTATTTTCTTAAAATCGAAAACAAGCACCCATCAGTATTCCTACAACATTTGATGAAAATTCATTATAAGAAGTGCATTTTATTTAAAGCCTCGTTTTCATGTATGTATTTCCATAACAAATTGATTTAGTTTTGCAGTGTATTTCGATTTTTTACAAGTCATAATTTGTTGCAGATGAAGGGAATTACTGGAGAAGATGAGATTGCCAAGTTTCTGGAATATGTTGAAGACCGTCCCTTCAATGATTACCGCTACCCAATGGATTGTGGAAAATTACAAAGTCTCGGTTGGGAACCAAAGATAAAATTCTCAGACGGGATCCAGAGCACAAGTAAGTCCTAGGGGTTGGAATAAGGTTAGGGGGGTTGGGGTTGGATACAGTTAAAACAGTGTTGTCCCCAGCATTAAAGGAACTTGGCACTACGTCAACTTGAGATTTTGAAAGGCTTGCTCTTGTCTGAAAATCCATTTGCACACACTTGAAAATTAGAGAACTGGCATATTTTGGTCAAAAGATCAAAGGTCAAATTTCCTAAAGTGAGAATTTTACATCCAATTTAGGAAAAATCCAAGGGAGAATGTTTTTAAGTACAGTATGTTCTTCTTCTATAACATATGTGTTAAATCATTTTTGAATACACATAACATCAATTTCTGAAATTTTATTCATAAAGATACAGATTTCTTATGTGGGGGATTTATGATCAAAATAATGAGTAATGAAATAATTAATGAGTAATGAAAAATGGAGTAATAAAAAATAAAGTAATTAAGTAACGAGTAATGAAAATGAAGTAATGAAAAATAAAGTAATTATACTAATGAATAATGAAAAATGAAGTAATAAATCATGAGTAACGGATAATGAAGTAATGAGTAATTAAAAATGAAATAATGAATGAGTCATGAAAAATGAGGTAATGAATCATGAGTAATTAAAAATGAGATAATGAATAATGAAGTAATGAAAATGAGATAATGAAGTAATGAAAAATGAGGTAATAAATAATGAAGAAATGAATAGTGAGGAATGAATAATGAAGTTGTTTTTAAAACAAGTATTGATCACACTACCCTACCACGTGACCACGTTTAAAAGGGAAACAGGGTACAGCTAAGTTGCAAATGGAGGACGTGGGTTTAATTCCATATTCTTGAACGTAAAATACATTTTACATTTATTTTAAGTGTTCTACCAGACATAGAATTGATTCATCAAGCAGTTTGTAGAATATTGTTGGCAAAAAACCACTATAGGCAAAGATAGATAATAGTGGGCGCAGTGAAGCAAAACTCAATGCAATACACGATACATTTCAGTAAATCTGTCAACGTACAGGGAGCATGTAAGTTTTCCTTCGAAAAAACCCCAGTAAACTGTTATTTAAACTGCGTGTCATCGTGTTATATGTGGATACGTTTTCCAGTATGTTATTCAACTGTACTTTTGTGAATTAATTGTTTTTCTAAAATCTTAAGATGCAAAAAAGTCGTCCCAGAAATGTATCTTTACTTTGCCGTAAGGCATAACATATTGTGAAACATTTTTCCTCTTGTGACAAGGAGGATAATGTTTGTTTCGAGGTGTCTTGTGATGAGCGTTTCATGATTAAATGCAAAATCACTGGAGCAGATACCATCCAAAAACATCTGACATTCAACACGTCATATAAGACTACATCGATCTGGTATATTAGTGTTTTTTACAATAATAGAGAAATACGACGTCATATCACCTCTACAGCAAATCGTGAAGAACAAAATGTCGTGGCATGATGGTATTTTGAACAAACTATTTTAAATGATCGGTTTTTGAGGACGGTAGTGAATTAGACCATTCAAGGGGTTATATAGAAAGATTCTTTACATGTAGTTCACGCAATTTTAATTATTCTGAATAGCGGATAGTCATTAATCCTGATAGCCGATAGTCATTTATCACTTACGTGTTTATATTTCGTTATTTTATTTCAATTTGATACCCTAGTAACACGTATAATCTAGCGTTCTTGTTGATTTAATGACTAAAATGCATATACGACCTGAAAGCCCGTGTCTAAATCTACTAAATAATGTTTACTTTATTTGGATTAAATAACAATTGATGACACCTTAAAGCATCAACAGGCGGCCTTTTTAGCATTATTTTCACTGTTTGCAACGTAAATATACATGAGATCGGGACATAGTATGTCTGTATAATCAGCTTACTTTCTCGCTCCCTGTACTATTGAACAATTTACATTCCTTGTACCCTGTATTGATCAACTTTTGCAGCTGTGTACCGTGTACTTTGACATATCAAATATTTTAAAATTTAAAACGATATTATTTACATTCTTTCTTCAACTATCATATAACTTGGAACATGGACTTCACTATTGCACCACTGAAGTTCAGCGAATAGCAATATTGACTCACTCCGAGCACCAAACGTATTAACCTTTTCACTAAGCAGTCGATATACTCAAAAGCGACCTGATTGAAAGCCCAAAAATTCGCGCATGCGCTATCGAGGTAGGGTAGTGTGTTGATAGTGTAAAATTTTTATCATGACTCACCTAGTCACCTTGTTTGATTCCTCTTTCAGTTGATTGGTACAAATTGAACTTTGGAAATTGGGGAAATGCAGAAGATGCTCTCCGTCCCTATCCCAGTGGCTCCAACACAATGCGTCTCGCCCAGAAAGATGCAGATTCCGCTCCAGGATCTCCAAAGAAAGTGGCCAGTGGCAGGATCACAAATAGTGTCTAAAGTAGAATGAGGAAATGAATGAAAACAATGCAAGCAAATGTATTGGAAATTGTAATTTCCGAAATTCTAAAATCAACAGGCACAAGTATTAGAAATTGTATGATGGAAAACTTGTAAAATTAAGAGAAAACTACCAAGAAAGTGGCCTGTTGCCCACTGCAGAATTCCTCAAAAAACAGGTGATTTTGGCAAATTCAGCTCATAATCCATCAGATGATTATCGATGCAAAACGCTTGAGTAGGAGTAGATTTGGGGGAAGGATGTGTCCAGAGAAAAAGCATAATATAGGGATGATCTAAAATGATATTCATAAGACTTTACTATAGATGGCAACTAGTGAGATACTTAAAAATATTTGCATTATATTATGAGGGAAAATAAGTTTAAATGTACCTTAAATATCAAGTAAATACTTGATGGTAATGTCACAGTTACAGAGTTTGTCACATTCCAAACATATGCTCAATATTTATTTATGTATATTAAGGTTGTTTAATACAAAGATATATTTTTCGAAACATTCCTTATTTTAAAAATTTCTCAGTTTATGTCTTTCTGTGACACTGGGTTACACTGTGACCCCTGGGTTACACTGTGACCCCTAGGTTACACTGTGATCCCTGGGTTACACTGTGACCCCAGGGTTACGCTGTGACCCCTGGGTTACACTGTGACCCCTAGGTTACACTGTGACCCCTGGGTTACACTGCGACCCCAGGGTTACACTGCGACCCAAGGGTTACACTGTGACCCCAGGGTTACACTTTGACCCCTTGGTTACACTGTGACCCCAGGGTTACACTGTGACCCAAGGATTACACTGTAACCCCAGGGTTACAATGAGGGATTAAGGAATTTCATAGTTTAAGGATGTTATTCAAAATTATCCCAAATTATTAAGCTAGGCCTACCTTAGTATCTGTGTAGCAGTAGCATAGGAATAGACACATTATTTTTCTATGTGCTGTATTTGTGATAAATTTGGGGCTTATTAATTTCCATGGTTTTTAACAAATCTGGTGTCTACTTAATTTTGTGTATATTATTGGTTAATGAAAACACAGATTGAAATCCTGTGTTAAGGGCTGATGTGAAAAAGTCAGTCCACTCCAGTGGGGATTGAACCCACGACCCCTCATTTTCAGGGCGATTACTCACATTTAAAAAAAAACAAATAATTAGCCTCTATCCCTTGCCAATGTGTATCATAGCTATTATAAAATTAAACATACTTAAATAAAGAACAAATAATTAATAAAATATATATACTTGAAGGCAATCTCAGACAATCTGTATTAGAACAAAAATACTTAATATGAGACATAAAATTGTATTCTCAGTGATTCATGAAGATTTTGTCTTTCAATTTAATCCACCAAATCCAAATAAAATAGGCATCAAATCTAGAATAGATACAGTACATGTATATGTGTATATATGGTATAGGATATTGTTAAAATATATTGTTTAAGGATGATGATTGATATTCTAAGGTAAATTGTTAAAGGTTTTCATTGGTGCAATAAGCTTTTCTTCAGATAAATATACCAAAAAAAAGATATTGTCTCAGTGAAAAATTGGTTTACTGTAAATTGGTGTAATTTTGCACTATTTTTGGTCATTTGATGTTTTCTAGACATAAGAAACTATCTGCTTCGCTGAATCTTTGCAAATATTTCTTCAAATATATTTTTTTAGTATTGAAAATTAAATTGGTGTCAAATTAAACCAATTTGCAGTATATCACTATATGATACTACTTTTGGATCTCAATTTTAAGCAAAGTTGATTCAGTTTAATAATTGTCGACCAAGGCAGGCCCGTAGCCAGGGGGGGGGGTTCGTAGGGTTCAGGCGAAACCCCCCCCCCCCCCCCGGCCAAAAAATATTTCAAAATCATTGGTTTTTTTTACCATTTTGAGCACATCCCAAGTGATTTTAGCCATATTTGGGCCAAAATTGTCAATTGTGAACCCCCCTGGAAATTTTGGAAAACTGAATCCCCCTTGGCAAATCCTGGCAACGGGCCTGCAAGGCAAACATTGAATAGTTATTTTTTTGATGAACCAATTTCATTTAGAGAGATGGGTAATAAGCCAGATTTAATTATAGCAAAAAAGACATTTTACTCTGATTGTGTGTCGTAACTTCATGAATTTTTTTACTATGTAAATGTATCCATAATGTGCAATTAAATAGTTTGGTTTAATTTATTTATTACAATTCAAAATATGAAACCAGTTGTTACAGAGTGTTCCAAAAGTTATGCCTTATTTTTTTTACCATTGCTATGAGTTACATCATGAGTGTTCAAGTGATTCACGTCACATTAAAAATGAAGATTTTGACAAACTCCTGAAAAGTAGGCCTACATTTTGGGATAACCTGTAAACAGTCAGATTTATTACTTCATTCAGAAAAAACATTTAGTTCGGTGTAAAACTTGTTATCACCAATCATGAATATGCAAAGGAGGTACAACTCCCATGATTCTAAAAATGCAACACAGAAGGTATATGTATGCAAAAGATATTATACATTCCTATGAATCTCATTATTTATGCAATCAGAATCTCATATATAATTGTATTTATTCAGAGTATTTTTCAAATGAATGAATAGAAAGATTATTATGTAGATATATGAATTTCCGCTTCTTTCAAAATATGAATTGAACTCTAATTTCTTGTGTTATCTTATGTATGTACAGAGTGAAACCTTCCTAATCTAAACACCTCTGGGACCAACTAAAGGCATTAAAAAAAACTAAATAAAAAACAAACAAAAAAACTAAAGGCAGTATGGCAGATTAAAATAATTAGGACAGAAAAGTGTTCATATCGAGAGTTGTTCAGATTAGAGAGGTGTTCAGATATACAGGTTTTACTGTATATTCATTAGTACTTACCTTACCTCATTAAACTGTGAGTATTCTGTACTGAGGTGATCATACTTCTGGGTTTGCTTTTACGTATGGCATCTTGCCTTAGTCATGATATTGCCAATGGTACAGCTCATGGTACAATTAGGTCTGTATTAGAGACTTTTGTATTAGAGACTTGTAGATTAAGCTACAAGGGGTGATCAAAAAAATTTTGAGTGATTCTCTACTTAAGAAAAGTTGTGAGTCACGTAATAAAAATTGAACTTAAGAAACCATAAATGATGAATTCTTTCAAGGTTGTATGTTCTAGTTCTCTACCCAATTTAAGATTGTAACTCTGAATGAGAGTAACTTGCAAAATTTTTTGATCAACCCTTGTATAATGGAATAAACAGAATGTTAAACAAGTCTGGATGCATGAAGAAGGTCTGTCATTTTGGAAAAAAAAACTTAGTAAAAAGTTGAGCATAATATTGCTAATATATATTATATCGTTATGTATTTAACTTTATATGTATACATTCAGAATATTTATGTACAAAATGGGGTTTGTATTATATTAAGGAATAGGTACATATAGTAAATATCCTTTTGGATATACTTTGGGGTTTGTAAAAACACATGTACATATGAAGTTGTGAACACTCTACATAGGGTTTGAATATTGGACATATCTCAGACACAAACATAACAGGGTTTGAATTTATTTTTAATATGTCATTAGGGATCATATTTTCATTCAAGATAATGGATGAAATAAATGTATGTTGTATTTCTATATTTTTAGAGATTGAAAAATTGTCTGTAACATTTACAAATGTGGGAATTCTTCAAAACTTTAAATTTGTAAAATGTTAGTATTTTTGAAATTTTGCATTTTTGATATGCATGATCAGGGCCTTAGCTATGTCCTTATATGGAGGGTATTGTACTTAAAATTGCAACACAAAATTGGTATAAAAGAAATATACTAGGAAATTGGAAATGTTCTTATGTTTCTTGAATTAGAATTACCCAAATGCGAGTAGGTAGTTACCAGTTTCACCACCAGGTGGCTGATTCGGGTCAATTAACATGGCAGGTATATAAGAAAGTTCCCTTAAACTTGAATATTATCAATTTAAGTGGCTCAATTTTCATATAACCCTTATGTGTCTGATACTTATACTAATGAAAATATGTCCAGTAAAGCAAAATATTATCTGTCCACTCAAAGAAAAGATATTTCATTTTTTGTGATTTTATAGCATGGGGTCTATGGGGAATCTCCCCGAGCTAGAAGTCACATTTTCAAAGAAAATTAATTTTTCAAAGTTGATAAACACTTTTTAAAACCACATTTCTAGATGTAATTTTACATGTAGATTTCAAATATGATATTACTTTGACTGAATTTTGAATTTTTAATGACGTAAATCAAGATTATTTCTACTCGCATCTGGGTTATTGCAGGCCTTCTATACTAACTAGTGATATTATACACGTGTGAAAAAAATTTAAGCACATAATTGTGGGTGATTTAATTCCCTTGTATCTTGTATGCTTCCCCATAGAAGATCCCTCCCCGATGCTTAAAATCATCAACAACTTATTGAGCCCTTTGTTTAATCTAAGGCCAGATGGTGTATTTTTGTATGAGCAAAAGCAAGTGAATTGCGCAATATTTAATGAGTTTTCTTCTGAGTATCACAAAAAAAATTCATGCACACTTACACCCCTTAATACGGCTGTGTCAATCTTGTCAAGCACACCAATCCGGCATCTTGATCCATCGAGGTATTACATACCTACATCACTCAATACCGCTGTGTCAATCTTGTCAATCACACCCATCTGGCATCTTGATCCATCGAGGTATTACATACCTACATCACTCAATACTGCTGTGTCAATCTTGTCAATCACACCCATCTGGCATCTTGATCCATCGAGGTATTACATACCTACATCACTCAATACCACTGTGTCAATCTTGTCAAGCATACCCATCCGGTATCTTGATCCATCAAGGTATTACATACCTACATCACTCAATACCACTGTGTCAATCTTGTCAATCACACCCATCTGGCATCTTGATCCATCGAGGTATTACATACCTACATCACTCAATACCACTGTGTCAATCTTGTCAATCACAACCATCAGGCATCTTGATCCATTGAGGTATTACATACCTGTATGACTGAAGGAATTCATGCATACTTACACCCCTTAATACCGCTGTGTCAATCATGTCAATCACACCCATCTGGCATCTTGATCCATTGAGGTATTACATACCTACATCACTCTATACCGCTGTGTCAATCTTGTCAATCACAACCATCTGGCATCTTGATCCATTGAGGTATTACATACCTGTATGACTGAAGGAATTCATGCATACTTACACCCCTTAATACCGCTGTGTCAATCTTGTCAACCACACCCATCTGGCATCTTGATCCATTGAGGTATTACATACCTGTATGACTGAAGGAATTCATGCATACTTACACCCCTTAATACCGCTGTGTCAATCTTGTCAATCACAACCATCTGGCATCTTGATCCATTGAGGTATTACATAC